GCAGAAGCGCCGACCTGGCAAGCATGAGGTCATGAGTTCAATTCCCAGTACCAAAAAAAAAAAAAAATTAGTAATAGATTCTAAAGTTGAATAATCATATGGGTGGGATTGTGTTTTCTTGGCTATATCTTCACAAGAACTGAGGAGTATGTGCAATGCAGCGGACCTACCCCATCCAACCAACAGTGCTGTTAACCCAGCAAGACTACAGTCCAGATACACCAGTCCACATACTCCCCTAATGTCTTGAGTAGATTTATTTCGACCCTTTGCCTACAAGGATTAATGTTCCATAGTGTTCTAGTCAGGGTTTGCAAGAGAAACAGTACAGGACACACAACTTATAGGACTATTTTATAATAGTCACCCAAAAAGTCAAGTTCAAAAGAGTGCAGGAAATCTGTCCACATACTAATGACCCAAAAGAATCCAGCTGAGGCCCTGGATCCCACGATAATGGCCTGCATGAGTCCAGCTGAAGATCTAGAGCCCATGACAATGTCTCATGCAAGTCTGTTTCATGGATCTGTGATGGGGAAGCCCAAAGGTCAGCAGTAAAAGGTAGAAAGTCTGTGCCAGCGGGATGAAGGATCTGTGCTAGCAGGCTGAGGGATCTGCACTGGAGCCAGGAAGCAACGCTCAAAGTAAGAATCAGAGTTCCCCTGAAATGTACCACAGCCATCCTCAGTGACAATGTGGTCCTGAGCTCCTCCAACGATAACTTCCAAGTCTATATCAGGAAAGCCAGCATGACAATCTCCTCTAGGAGAATCAACAGCCCCAGGAGAACCAAGAGCCCCCAGAAAAACCAACAGCTCCCTAACAGCACCTCTTCGGCTTCTCCTGTTCTGCTTTTTGTTTTTGTTGGCAACAGTCCTCAGGTGGGCCTTCCACACCCAGAACCGTGCTGACTCAATTCAGCTGGGTGCCACAAGTTCACCACCAGCTGTCAATCCACCACGGTAAGTGTTTACACTCACAGGTCCTGGAGGGTGGCCAAGGCACCGCTCTTTATTGGATGAGAGAAATATGGCTTAAGAATGCACCTGATCTGGAGCACACACAGTCCACAGATTGCTCCTGGGAGGCCTCTTGTGGTGGGGACATACCTGAGGGTCGGAAGGCAAATGAGTAAATCACAAGCCCTAAGCCAGCTCCAACTCCTGCCATGACTTCCCAGCACAGAATGTAGAATGGTGCAAGAATTTTAGATTCAAATCAGCACTTTCAAAGCATAATGAAGGTAAATGTATTAAGGCAGGAAAAGGGGACATTTTTAGATAACTTGCTTTCAGTTTGAATGATAATTCCCAGGTATTTAGTCAAACGTTATAGGGTCCTACAATTGTACTTTTGCCTGAGACTCTGTACTGTTAGGGATCAGCTTGCAAGCAATAACGTTTTTACAGTTAAAACTAAGATCATTTCTCCCTTTTGCTAAAAAGAATTAAGGAGCTTAGTGAGAAAGCAGTGCTAGGCTGATGGAAAAATGTCCAGGTACACCTGTATCTTTCTTAATGGTAGATTTAACTGATGTGGATAAGCGGCTTTGCTTTTAGTTCTTATAATCATTAAAAGGGCTAACATAAAAAGTTTAAAAGCCATTTTTAGCATGATGTTACCCATATTTATTAGAAAATAAATGTCTCCAGTTCTATGCTTTTTCCTAACAAGATCCATATGCAGAAAGAGACATTAGCAACAGGAAAAAAAGAAAGAAAGCTATTTGTCAAAGTCCAGGCTCCCAAGAGAAAAGCATGTTTTCATTTCATAGTACAGGAAAGTTTTCATTTTATCATCAATAGAAAAGCTTGTTAATCAGATTGTAATTTCAGAGATCAGATGGTAGAGAACCCTGGTAAACAGGGAGTACAGCTGTGTTTCCATACCAATAAGGAAAAGCCACTTGCCAGTGTAAACTTGGGCTACATTGTTTAAAAGCAGTGGCTGACTCTCTTATCAGAAATGTGCTTGTCATAAAAGAGAGTGGGGAGGTCTCCAAAGCCCACCTCTGTTTAGTAAAGCAAATGCCACCTCAGACCAGTTCCCCTTGCAAAGATGGCATTACAATTTATAATAAATCTGAGGGGTACTTTTGCTCTTTAAAGAAAGGAAAAGGAACTGTGGGACCGACCTTGTAGGAAAGGAAACTGCCAATTGAATCCAATCTACAGAGAAATCAATTTCACATGGCCATAATTCAAGGAAGTGGGGCAGCGTGTAATGATGTGGACATTCACGCTGCTTTTTAGAATTTGAACTTTCTTCTTGGCAACTGGGTAACATTTTTTGAAACAGCTTGGATTTTTTTCTTATTACCCTCTTCAAAAATTTTCACTAAACATGGAAACACAGACTCACACTGTGACTCATGACTATTGTTTCCTTTAATTTTTCTCACCATCTCATCCTGCATTGTTTTCCTTTGCTCGAGACCAAAAGAAAGATAAGTAGTGGAAAGAAATGATGTTTTAAACACATACTGAACATGCAATAAGAAATATACTAAGATAAACTAATTTTGCTTTGATTTTCCACCAGTGAATACTTTGAAGTTCACACACAAATCAGGTTCAAATACAGAATTATATTACACATAACAACAAAATTAGTCAATTTTCATTCACTCTCCTCTGTTTGGATTGATGAAAGGGGCTGCTATAACTTTGTTGTTATTTCTACCTTAACTAAATATATCTGCTTGAGATTTTTTGGTGATGGCTGTTATTAAGATAACATTTCAACACATTTGAAATAGTAATGGCAATGGCAATAACCTATATACTACAAAATATGTACAGAAATTCAAGAACGAGGAAGCTCCATAAGGCAAAATTAGTGACTTAGAAACAACTTGGCAATTAAGGCTATGATGGATAAGGTTGGAAAAATATCTTTAGGCAAGTATAGCATGCAGGTGAAGGCAACTCCAATAATCCCAATTGGGGTGATGTGGACTTGAAATAAGAAGTTGATGAGGCCTCTAGCATCCACCTGCCTCACAGAGTAGCCACCGAGCGAGAGAAGAGTGCCGGCAGGTAGAGCAAGGAGAGGCAGATTGGGGCTGGCATATTTGATCTCTAGTTTTCAAGGTTGGTCATTTTCCAGCTAAGTCTTATTTTTAGGGAAAGAGGGTATTTGTGTATGGTCCTTCAAGCCCCACCGTGGGCCATTACTAAAGCTTTACCTAGCAGGGCCTCCCAGGCAAAAGCTGCCCTTTCCACACCAAGCTTGGTCCGTGAAAGCCTCAGAGTCTCCCTCACGCTGCCAGGCCCTTGCTAGCCAGGCCAGTGCATCTCTAGGTCTGGAGTTTGTGTGCCCACATCTGTAGGACTTTTCATCCACAGCTCTCTGCTGAAGCCTCCTTCCTAGTGAGGAAACATGAAGACATTTACACCACTCTGACGCAGTATTTATACTTCTGCACACCTGGTCCTTCCCTCTCTAGCTGACCTTTAATCCCTGGGTCCATAAAATACCAGAAGCCCTTTCTTCAGGGCTTGCCTGAAAGTGAGATAATTCCCTCTTATTTGCACTGACACATCTGACCTTTACCCAGTGTCCTTCTGTAGAGAAAACAGAGCATTCTGGGAGTCGGAGCTCTGTCCTCTTCAATAGCTTAGAAAGTCAGGAAAGCCCTGCATGTCACTTTCACTTTGATATTTTATCTTAATGGACTCTTTCAGCAACTGGATGCTCAGCTAGCTAGAGCTCAACTCTGCTCTTAACAAGTAGCAGAAAGAGAAAAAATCTAAACAAAGAAGAGACCAAAGTTCAGATCACAATTCCTTTTGAAGCAAATCTATATTCTCACTCCTTGGAAATACAAACTGTATTTGCAAAACATTTGGAGAAGAAAAAAGTTATTAATATTTAAAAACTAGTTTTAAATTCTTCAAACAAAGACCATGGCACTGTTTCAATTTCGAATTTATATACAACATACTAAACGCCCATATTTTATGGTGTAGACTGATTTGACAAAACTTTCATAACACCAGCATTTGTAATGTAAATCCAAGAGTCAAGAGATCTCTAAATTATTGCATCTCAAAAACACTACTGAAAACTAATAAACTATGGGGACTTAAAGTCTCATATAGCTGTGACATTGATTGAATACCTGACAACTCTTTAAAAGTAGGGATGTGGGAAAATAGGAAGGAGAGGATTTATTTACCTCCTTTGCGCTCATTTTTAACACTGAATATTTGAGTTCACCCAAAAGGCAAAGCGTTTATTTTACTGTCTCTGATACTGTGATAACTATTGTGACTTCTATTGGGAATATTGCTGCATAGCATTTGCCAGTGAAGCTCATCAATCAGTGTTGCTCAAATGCTAGCAGCTCATTACTACAAATTCCACCCAGGGAGCACATATAGCTGCCTTCTCGGCTTCATCTGGCAATTTCCATCATGCCCCTGGCCCGACATTACCATTTGTACAGTCCTCTTGCCTCTTCCCTTCCATTTTCATCTGATCACTTTCTGACAGGCTCTGAAATTTGGGTGACTAAGTGGTTGGTGAGTTGGATAACCAAGAGGACGAAGTCACTTTCACAGTGGACAAAAGTGTGAGTGAATGAAGTTCAAGAGTACTGTTTTCTTCTTTCACCCTGTAAATTCCAATATATGCACTAATAATATAACACTTAAAATATTACCAAGCCTATGAGGAAAAATTCTAGTAAGAAAAGTTTAAAAATCTGTTCTAGATATGACTATTATAAAACTCTTCAGATACAAAATTTTCAAAATTTAATAATAGTGTAGTTTCTTACTGAACTATGAAACTATTATTTTTCATAAAGCTAACAAATTATTGTTTGTTATACAACAGTTTCTTCTTTCCCTAATTTTTCTTTGTTTGACATCTTTTTGTCATTGATTTATTCTGTATGGTTCCTGGTGAAAAACTACTTTTTAACATACACCCCTTCCAATAGGCTTTTGTATTTAACAGCCAAAAAATTCTCAATACCAGAAGACAAGAACTTCTCACTACTAGAAGGGAAAAAATTCTCAATAAACAAAATGAAGAGAAATACTGCAATTTTTATATTTCCTGGCTGCAAATAACCTATAGAAAACTAGGATCTTCAAAACAGAGTAAGATGAGATCCTGTGAGAAGTTTAATGTTCTTCTGTGGGGAAGAGCCACCAGAGATAAGCATAAATTCCTGTTCTGAAGCACAGCATTAAGCTGAACTGGCTCTCTAATCTAACTTGAAGCACAAGAATCACAGAAGCTTACAGGGAAATTATTAGCTTTCCCACAATAAATTCAGTTTCCCAAGAAAAGACTGGGAACATTTCTTATTTTTAACAAACATACTCTTTAAAGAATGAGCTACTAATCTCTATTTTAGAAATAAAGGAGATTTAAAATATGAAGATATTTTGAGAAACGTCTCAAAATGCATTGACTTTTGCAATATTTTCTTTCAAAAAGCCACCTTATCACCCTCAGAAACTGAACCAATTAAGCTTGTTTTGTGTTCGTTGTACAAAATCAGCCCTTGCTAAGAACAATGGCTGGGTGTATTGACTGTTTGCTGTTCAGGACGTTGCTCTTCACACACCTGCACAAATCTACACCGTAACCACAGGGTGATCAAGCCATAACTTTACATTGCCATCAAGGAGTGATCTGTCTTTTCCCATGCAAGTACAGGTCATTCTAACACAAGTGCAAGTTTAAATCCCCCTGCATGTCTTCCCTGTTCTCTCATTTATTTCGTTATAATATTGGAAACCGAGATGGAGATCAAAAATAAAAAACAAATGAGAAAGTAAAATTCATCACTGCTTGGATGCAAAATGCTTCAACTACGTAACAAGTTAAAGGGGAGCATTATTATTGTTACAGATCAACAAACTTGGCACTCTGACATAACTTAATGTGATTTCTCTTCAGCTGGTCGCATGCGGGGGAGAGGAATGTTGATTATCTAAAGAGAACGACTGACATCTGCTGGACGACAAGAGCAATGAAAAGGAAAAAAATCAAGTATAGAAATGCTCATAGTTTAAGAATATGTGGATGTCTACGATTTGTGACACTACTGTAAATCCTTAGAGGTAGAACAGTAACAGTATAAGAAAAGAAGAGCAGCATGCAATTATGTGCTGTTGTACATGATAAATCCAAACAAGGTAACTTCAGCCCTGTACCTCTAAATCATACAGTCCTGTTGCCCATGATTTTTCAACATCTTGTTGATTTTTGTAGTGTGCTGGTTTCTATCAGCTCTAGTCTGGCTATGTCAGTGCAATCAATCAAATGAGCTTTGCCAATATAGGTCCAAAGAATAACAAAAATTGATCACTGGGGGAGTCGTAATGCAATTTACTTCAAAAAAAAGGATAGATTAACACCATCAAATCTTGCTGATCCACATGTAAGCTGAGATTTTTAAGCTATTTACAAATTATTTCATAATGAGGTAAGGGGATCATTATTAGTTGAGAGTTGCTGTATAATTCCATGAAACAGGTACTCCAGCTCTATTTTAGAGTATTTTTCCTATTTCGTTTTGTTTTGAGGTAGGACATCACCATATTGCTCAGGGTGGTCTCAGACTTCTGGGTCTAAGTCACAAATGCACACACACACACACACACACACACACACACACACACAGCCTCTCATGTAGTTAGGACTACAGTGCACACCACTGCTTCAAGCTCAACTCCATCTCTAGATGTGAAGCCCAAGAATCACAGAGGTAAAGGACCTTGCCCTGGGTCTCACAGGTTGTAAACCATCCCACAGCCTTGGACAGCTGGCAATACATGCTCCATAAGACCATGAACTCTTAACATCCTTGTGTGATCTTTAGGAATACTTTTCATGACTGGATCACACAGCGCAGTGCGATGTCAACTCCACTTCCCACGTCTGCCACACACAGTCCAAAGAAACCCACATGTATCCGAGTTTATATGTGCTATATTTTTCTATCTACCATACCATCACCTGTGCCACTCACCAAGTGTATCAATTTTATAAAAAGTAAGAAGTAGTCCACAAACACTGACAGAATACCCCGATTATATATGATCTGGTCCTGCTCTGGACGCTGCTAGCAAGCAAATCCTGGTAAAGACCCAGACAGTAAGAGATAATAGAGTCAAGAGAACCCATCTTTCTCGCAGTTAAAAATTTGGTCCAGATCCTTGGTTTCTTCATTAGTAAATGATAGAGATGGACCAGACAATTCCTGAGATCCCATTCAGCTGTTCATCTAATTGGGAATACAGCAAAAAAAAAAAGAAAAAAAACCCAGACTGTGTTGTTTGATTCATTATTATTCTGCCATAACACACAGAATATGAGCATATAATTAATTATATGGTGCATGCATAATTTGCTAATTGGAAGAAGTGTTATTTACTTTTAGAATTTTTGTCTTGGCTTATAAAGCCTCATACATTTTGTGTGAAAGTCTGTGCTCAAAGTAGTCTATTTTTACAAATAAACACACTCAAAATGTTATCGTGCCCAAAAAAAACTAAATCTTTCACCCTACTCTTTGAAGTCAATAATAAAATTTATATTTTTCCTAAAAAGAAAAATAACTTTGATCAAAACTTATAACACATGCAAAAGTTGACCAAAGATTATGATTTATAATAAAAGATAACTTATATGATATGTAATATATAGTATCAGGTATCATACAAGTTCCTTTAGTCAACAATGTTTTGCATTTCAAGATGTTATAAATTTTGAGTATTTTACCTCCAAACTGAATAAAAGTCATCTGAATATTGTTTTAAATATTAATTTAGCAGGGGAAGTAACAATAAAAACGTCTTCTATAATCAGTCACATTCCTGCGTTAAAATATACAGCAGGTTGAATCTTGAACTCAATAGCACCATCTAATGAAATTTAATCAGAAATGTTGTAGGCTGACTTCATAGTTTGTGAACAGTTAATAGTAGCTTTCTTCTATCATTACTGTCCTCGATGCCTACCAATAACAAATTCAGTCAAAGGACTTATGGGAACCTCCTTGAAATAAGTAGTTCTTTGCCACAAAAATGCTATTTGCTTGAAAATAACCTGATCATAGTTATATGATATACAGAGCAATCTGATTTTTAAAAATGTAAAGTATATTACCATGATCCCATTTTTGACAACCAATCTCATATAGGACATTGATAAATGTTCTTTAGCTATAGTGAAGTTGCCTGGATAAAATAATACCTGTCATTGGAAAATAAAGATACCATGAGCTGCAGAGTCACACTGCTACGGATGAGCATAGCAACGCCGTTACTTACTGGGTTTCAGTTCACAAATCTGACGCACAAAATAGCGCTTACTTGGAAGGGTCTTTGTAGGGGGTTAAATTGTTTGTATATCATTCATTCACTCAATTTTTACCATGTGCTTTTATTCTTAACCTATAGTTTCTTTTTCTTTACTCTGCTGTTGTTATTTTTGCTGTCATCTTGCACAAAATTCCAACAGTCTCACTTATGCCAACAGACACTAAGGAAACCCCAGGGTCACATTTTCTTTTTACTAATTCTATTATTGTTGTTTCCTAAATTCTCCGGGCTACCTGCCTCATACTGCTCACTTCTATAGACTCATTCTCACTACTGTGTTAAGAAGGTAACCCTTCCAGTGCCACATAATTCTGAAGTTTTCCTCAAAACTAATTCTGGGCAGTGGTAAGGTCAAGTTAAGGGAGACAAATAACTAAACGTTTTACGAAGGGTTACCAGACAGGACACCTCTCCAAGAAGTAGAAAACTGATTATTTGTCCCTGATATCACCCAGAAAGGGAGAGAGAGAGAGACAGACAGACAGACAGACAGACGGGGGGTGGGGGGAGAGATTGAATATGAGTGTAAATCTACGGAGATTTTAGAACTGAAAACTGTTAACTGTGTATTATTATTGTATAGGTTATAACTAGTCCTCTTACTCAAGATGCTCAGAAAGGCTGGCATGATTCATCATATTTTTTCCTCCTCCCTCTCCTCCTCCTCCTCCTCCTCCTTCTTCTCCTCCTCCTCCACTTCCTTCTCCTCCTTCTCCTTCAACTCCTCCTTCTTCTCCTTCTCCAGCTCCTCCTCCTCCTCCTCCAACTCCTCCTGTTGCTCTTCCTTGTCTTCCTCCTCTTCTCCTTCTCCCTATTTTCCAGCCTCAGGAGTTCTCTAATTTTGTGCTGACATTGAGTCTCCAGCTGCCAAGGGGAACCTTGCTATGTTCCTTCATATTATGAGTAAAAATAAATGTGTTATTAAACCACTGACACGTGAGGACTGTTCATATTTGCAACACAGCCCAATAAATCCTGATGGAAACAAGTGGTTAGTTAAATGTAAAGTGTGTACTACAATTCATAAATGTATTTAACTGGGTAAACAGAAACACAGTTTAATATGCTGATGACAAATGAGAGTAATATCCAGGCTTTGTGTTTTACACTTTGCACACTGCTTAAGGATAGTGGGTATGTTTAATGTGACATGAGACTTTCTAACACATTAAGCAAAATGTAGGTGGATATCCAGTAGGGGGATATTTCATCTTTCTGATCACAACTACTTCATTTATAGTAATGTTGTAAATGTTTTATCCTCCTAAAAAGTTTAGAGACCATTGAAGTCCCCTGTTACCATAAAATGTTTGGCGGGCTGGGGAATATAGCTCAGTGGCACAAGTGCCTGCCTGGCAAGCACGAGGTCCCGAGTTCGATTCCCAGTACCAAAAAAAAAAAAAAAAGTATGGCTTTGCACATGAAGTCACAGGTAAATATTCCAGTTTTAATGCACTGCCATGCATGACATAATTTCCCTATGACAGGAAAAACATAAAGTGGGTTCCTAAGGAAAGGAGAATATCTAGAAAATCGATGTCTATAGAAACGGGGTGCTGGGCATAAATTCTGACTTGATTTTTCTGAATTGTTAGTAGGCTGGCAATCAGCTAATTTCTGTTTTATTTTTTCTTTGTCCCATCAACTCTCAATTGTACAGGCTCCCAAGCGTGCAGAGTTTCCCAAGAGTTGAGTATAGTCATGTGATATAGGAAGGTAAAATATAAAGGGAAGAAAAGATACATTCATTAAATAGTTGTTATATAGGAGACCTGCTCATAGACTATTTAATGATGCTATCTCAACCCTCAAAGTAACACTGAGTAGTTGGCATAATTATGGCAAGAATAAGTAAACTGAGGCTTTGAATAATAAATGCACAATAGGAAAGGCAAGAGCCCATAATGTTTTTCCACTGGAGAATGGAAGAAATACTTAATTTTTAAGAAATGTTGTATGAAAGTAGAAGAAAGATCATTAGAGAAAAGGAAGAGGATGAGGAGCACGAAGCAAAGGGATGGGGATGATTTGGTGAGGAAATGATCAAAGTATATTACATGCCTGTGTGAGTATGCCAAAAGGAAATGCAGCAGTCTATATAACTAACATGCAGTAATAAGAAAAATTTAATGTTTTAAAATCATGGGAAAATATTAGCAAAGAGCCTTAGTTTGTTTGTGGTACTGTATCAAAATACATAGGTCTTGGTAACTTATAAGGAGTAGAAGTTTATTTCTCACAGACCTGGAGGTGGGAGTCCAAAATCAAGGTGCTGGGTTGTGAGGGCTCAGTCACTCTGGTTCCAAACCGCTGGCTTCTTGCTGCACCCTCAGAGGGCACAATGCTCTCACATGGCAGAGGGGAAAGCAAGGAGCAGCAGGGATCAAACTCCCTCCATCATGCTCCTTTATAACTGTATTCATCCATCCATAAGGGCAGAGCCTCCATGAGCTAAATGCTTACCTGCAGAATTTTTCCATCATATGAATTTTGGGGGCCACATGCAAACCATAACATTCACAATAAAGCAGTTATCCAAAGGAGGAATATAAACAGAAAAAAGTATGAAATCATTTAACTTTCATAAAAGTCATAAAATTTTGATTTTTTTAACCAATAAATGGGCAATTAAAATACCCAAAATCTAATATTGGCAAGTATGCAAACAAACAAGAATCCTTATAAATTTTCAAGTGACGTAAAACTTGCCACAAGTTCTCGGGAAACCAATGTGATAGCACACGTTACAAAATCTTTTTCCAGAATATTTTACATCTCCTAACCCAGTCACCCCTTTCTAGGGCTTTATCCCAGAGACATAATTATAAGTATATGTAAACATATAAAAATATTTATAAATTTGATATTCAGTGAAGTGTTTTTAATATAGGTTTCAAAAATACTAAATGTCAAATAATAAATTGAGACAGTTTATATTGGTAATTCATATCAATTAATGCTGCCAAATATTTAACAATTTAGTAAATTTTTCATTAGTACATGGAGTACCTGTTGGAAAATAGTAACTGTTTTAAAATCCCATTTCTGGAAATATATTTATAACACATATTTATATAAAATCTTAAACTTCAATTTCATATGCATAAAGAATAATACATATTATAAAGTGCACATATGGATATGTCTATATGTGTACCCTACTCAAAGTCAACTCCTTGACTACTGCTTGTTCAGGATACACAGAAGCCATCACTGCCTTTATTTATGGTCATGGCCTAGAGTTCATGAGCTATGCTTACCCCTAAAACAAATTCTCATTTATCTTCAGGAACAATCTCTTAGTCCCTTGAGTAGTAGATGCACTATCTGTCACAGTGGGGGTGCCCTCACATTTAGATACCAGAATAAAAGCCAGTGTTTTCTTTAGCAATATAACCTGTTATAGTTTAGCCAGAAAGGGATTATAAGAGACTGCCCAGTAGCTCACAGGGCGGTAGAAGAACTGAAGGAACAGTGTCTAGGTGAAATTTGTAGAAAGTTTCCCAAGTAACACCCTAAGACTGAATGGAGAATGAAGTTTCTGTCTCTATGATGGTCAGAATGTCACTGTCATAGCACTTAACTCATAGCACATCTTAGTTTTTGACATAATTTGTGTAGCAAAGTGGGTGGTCTACATTTTGCTACTCTCCTTTCGTGACTCAGTTCTGAGTTGCTCTCATACAAGTGCCCCTGCTTGGTAGAGTCTAAGACAGTAGCTGCAGTGAATATTAGGTACGTGTAGGTCTAAGGTTGTGATGTACTTCTTCAGTCTCTGCGTATTAGAGAGCTGTAAGGATGGGTGGTGGCATAAACAATCCAGCTTCCTTGGCAGTCCAACATCCACACACGTCACTCTTCCAAGTTACGTTTTTGTAAAATGATGCATTTTCCCCCTAATCTAATGAGATTATCCCTCATACAAACAAAAATTGTTCAACTTCTCTCTGGAAAAAGACACTCAAAATCTCACCAGTGGTTGCACTAATCATGCATTTTCTGGTTTGACTGCACTCCTACTTTAATATTCTGTAAGTTGTGGGCTAAAATTGGAAAGGGAAATTAAGCAATGCATAGCTGATCATGCAAAGATGAACATAGTGGTAGCTTCTAAAATCTTTATTTTTTTAACTGGTCAAGGAAGCTTAGTTCAGATCTACAGTTTCCTGTACTACGTAGGAACAGTCAGTGGGTGCCCAGCCTTCTCTACCTGGTGGGTAGCCCAAGGTTTTATTCTTTCTGCTCTTAACTGCTCCTCCCTGCAGGGAGGGACTTGGAGAGAGTACAGTCTTCTCATTTCCAAATGTTTTCTTTCCTTGCTTTACTGTGTATCTGTAATAACATTTCTCCTTCTTAATGAAGACAAACATCCTCAGAGAAAGGAGCCCCCAGAAACATAAAGGTGAAGGAAGGAAGATGGAAGAT